TTGAAGAAAGCTTCAATAATTTCGTATAATTCTAACTGCCATTCTCTTCCTTATATCTGGTATCCTTGTCCCGATTCGATAATTTAAATAGAATATTTGTTTTCAGCCTTGCGGTTCGCGGGAATCATCGACGTCGTCCTTCAGATATATGCGCTTGTGTAAAGATACTTTCCGGAATTAACACATAAAACTTACGAGAATCTCTATACGTGACATGCACGGCCGGACGTTATTCGTAATTAGTGCTGTTAAAGAGACAACGCAAAGGAGCGGTGCTCATAAAAACTATAAAATAAAAACATCGTATACTTTTTCTCGGAGAAGCACAATTATGAGTAGCAATTAACGGTAATTATATCACAAAATCGAATCATACCGGGACTCCCGGAGGCATATCTATTCGATCGTGCGATCTCTTTCATATAATCTGTAACGAATATGATTGGTATATTTCGCAGACGATATTTATTTTATTTCTTTCCACATTATGTTGCAAAATAATATACTTGAGTAAAATCCTGTATAAAGTGTTCTTTTAAATTTAGAAACGATCTCTTTTTTTAGCAAAAAAATATATGTTAATTTTAAACTTCTTTAACGTTCAAGTCTTAAGAAATCTAAGAGTTCTCGCTTTTTTTAAACGTTAGATACAATTGCATACAAACGTATAGGGAATCTGCATTTTCGCAAACGGCAACTTTAATAAACGCGCATTATTCTAACGGTCTGTAACGGTTGGGAATCATTGGTTATAAAGCAATCGCCGCCGCCTAAGCAATAACTAAGAATCCAGGAAGAAAGCATGATATTACAAAACGATCAACGTCAAAAAGAGCATCGAGAATGTCACGCGTCTTATTCATGAGTTGAAATTTTTCTATGGCTAAAAATAGCAAAATCAGATATTTTAATAAATTCTTCAAGAATAATAAATTGATAAAACTACGATTTAATGAAATAAAAAAAATTTTTTTCTCTCTCTCTCTCTCTCTCTTTCTCCTTGAGAGAATATAAATCGCATAATTTAGTTGAAAAAAATATTTTCATTTTTTTTACAAAGAAATATGACAAACTCAATTTATTTTACGGCCTGCCCCAATGATTTAAAGTTTACCAAAGTTTTACGATGTGAAGTCGAGATAGCGAACAAGCGAGGTCATCGATCTCGACTCGGATAAGCTACATATAACCATCAAGATAAAAATCATGAATTATTCACGATTTTAATCTCGCGTTAATTATTCACACATCGACCGCGAAAACACTAGTATAATAATAACGGCTCTTCCAGTTTAGGCGCAAAAGTGTTCTACTAGTAACGATAGAGGAAAATTACCGAGAGTATGTTACTTTAATCGAAAGAATAAATATTATCAGCTGTACAAACTATGCATAAATGGAAAAAAGTTAGCGTGTATTTATATCGAAAAAAGATTTTAGACCAAATGACAAGATAAAATAAATTTCTGTTTCCGAAACATACGAGTCAAACAACCGCGATGGTCATATAAATCATGATTACATGCATCGCGTGACCTTAATAAATTTAGGAAGATTGAGTAAAAAAATGTATTACACGATTTAAAAATAAATTAAAAATATTAATCACTTGTTGAGATTGTTAGGATCAGATAATTAATTTTGATATAAGTCTCGACGATTTTCAATTTCAAATTCGAAGAAAAATCGAGTGAAGAAGGAACTTAATATTAAAAAAAAATATATATAATATACATATATAACAAATATAATTATCTTCAAATATATTATTTTCGGAAAATGTGACTAAAGAATATTTATGCAATAGAGTCAAATTAATGTATGTGTTCATAATGATACTTAATTACTTCATACTAACAATAAGTCAATTATCTCTCTCTTATATATCTTGAAACTTCTGTTGATGATATATATAAAATTTATTTTTTTTAACGTAAACACGCACGTGATACGATATTATATGATTTGCCGCGACTTAAAATATACAAGTGCTTACTATTGCAAATATTACTTAACTTTATTAAAGAAAATGTAATACATGTATTATTTAATATTAATCAAATGTAAATTAAATGTAAATCTTGTAATAATATCCTATATCTCTCCGATAATTTTTAATAGAAATTGCATCTATATATATATATATACTCATCTTGATTATAATAATTATATATTATTCAACTATAAATTGAAACATTTTTCAGCAAAATGGTAAATAATTTTTAATGGGAAATTGCCGTGTCGAGACTGAACGATATGTAAACTTATGGTTTACATAATAATACTGTCTATATGTGCGCATATATACTGGCGCGTGTATCACATGCGTGTACGACTCATCGAGCGTTCCTCGATGAGTCATAGCAATAAAATAAAACAATTTACCTGGCGACTCACGATTTATCGAATTCGCAATATATTCGCGACGCGTGAAATGATATGTAATTCTAATGGATAAAAAATAACGAGAAAAATTCTCTTGTTTTATAATTATCGCGGAGAAAGCTATTTGCTTCTCTCCTTGTTTATCCAAATATTTGACCAAAGATATTAATCCTTTTTATTTGAAAAAAAGAGCTCAGTGTTTTTGAAAAACGTTAATGTTTTTAAAAAATTATAATTTTTGTATCCTTATATTTCTTACTATATTTATATAGAAAAATATAGTGTAAGAACGTCAATTAATATGTTAAGAAATATTTTTAAGGAACATTTTTATTATTGTGCAATGCTTTTTCGAATAACGAAAGTTAAAAAGATCTCTTTCTCCTTAAGAATTTTAAAAATAAGATAGCTATTGCTCGCGCAACTTTCGGTCATTTAGACATGTTGGGCACGTGCGAAGTTCATTACGTCTATTAAGAGAAGAGAGGCCTTAGCCGCGAATGAGAGAATGAAATGTGTGTAAGTACTGACGATACGAATTTTGTCGCACGAAAAAGATCTGTCCTCCAAGAGAAAAAGGTCATATTGCCGATAATTCATATTTAAAAGTTGGAAGGACGACGACAATTTGATTACTTAATAGATCTCTCCTAAATTTACCGAAGAATAATGAAGAAGAAACGGCAGAAGAAGAAGAAGAAGAATGTGATGGAGAACATGTGTTTATAAAATACACTTTGCATAATTATTTTTTTAAACTCACTAAATATCTCAACCTCTTTTTTTTCGTTGAAAATCAGTTAGTTAGTCATTGGAAATTCGTAAAAGATAAATGTCGATTGGTCTCTTTAAACGTATTCGAAGGTCTATCATAGCCTGTATAGTCCTGCCATTGCACTTCCGCTTGATATGTTGAATGGGCCTAAATGAATGCTTTTAAAACACAAACGCGACACGTCATGCCGGCATGCGAAGTTTACAGGTGCGTCCTCAACTACGATTAATCAGGCAAATAAGAACAACCGCACATATTTGATAAAAAATACATTAATTATTTTTAAACTATTAATTTGTTACACATAACAAACTAACAAGAAAATTCTACCGTAATTTCAGTCGTGCAATAAAATTATATCTGTACATTTTTCTGAGAACCAATTATAATTTCTCCATGAAATGCGTTTCCATAAAATAATAATAAATTAATTAATTTAGATATTAATCATGAATTTTCGTAATGGCATCCTATATGTTATAATGTGAGTAATAATGAAGTAATAAATATAGAAACAAATATATGAAAGAAATAAGTTGAGCACACATTGAAATGTATTTGAGAAATCTTACATTAAGTTCTATTGAGCCATTTAATGATATTGTTTAATGACGTTTACAATGATGTAGTTAAAATTTCCTAATGTTTTCAGGCATTCGTTATCTCTTATTTTTCTTCTGAACTATCTGAGTTGTATTAAATATCTAATTTTGACCGTGAAACTTATCTACGGGTTCACAAGAGTTATCTCATATTATATAAAAGTAATTTTATGATTCTAGTAAAAAGATCTTAGTAATTGGTAGTAAATCGAAATATCGATTTCGCTAGCATAATGTAACTTCTTTAATTGCAAATTATTGACCAAGCCTATCAGATTATATTTATCCTATATCATCCGGATTAATTATTTTTATTTTTAAATCAACATGACATACAAATTAAAGGAAAGGTTTTAGTCGACCCTTTCTTGCAAAGCTCTCTAGCTGAACGTACATACATGTACGATGCTCGCAATTAAAGAGTTAATTTTCGCTAGCATAATGTAACTTCTTTAATTGCAAATTATTGATCAGGCCTATCAGATTATTTATCCTGTATCATCCGGATTAATTATTTTTATTTTCAAATCAACATGACATACAAATTAAAGAAAAGGTTTTAGTCGACCCTTTATTGCAAAGCTCTCTAGCTGAACGTACATACATGTACGATGCTCGCAATTAAAGAGTTAAATTTCGCTAGCATAATGTAACTTCTTTAATTGCAAATTATTGATCAGGCCTATCAGATTATTTATCCTGTATCATCCGGATTAATTATTTTTATTTTTAAATCAACACGACATACAAATTAAAGAAAAGGTTTTAGTCGATCCTTTATTGCAAAGCTCTCTAGCTGAACGTACATACATACATGTACGATGCTCGCAATTAAAGAGTTTAAGTTCATTCAAGGCGTTACCCCACTAGGTCAGCAACGCAAGCCACGAATTACTAATTCATTCTCGAACTCGGAAAGCTTTTCGGGACCGCTCGAGTATAGATCTCGGAACGGAAAAGAGCGAGAGAATCGCGACTCGCTCGTCGAGTGTGAGCAGAAGCGAGCGAGAGATATCGAGGCAAAGGCAAAAACGCGCGAGAAGAGCGGTGTAGGAGGAAGAGAAAGAGAAAGGAAGAGGTGGAGAACAAGGAGGGAGATAAGATAGAGGTAGGTAGGTAGGTAGGCAGATAGAGTCCAAGAAGGGCGGCGAAGAGAGAAGACTAAAAGAGGGGCCCCCTTGCGCGATCCTGGCCGCCTAGCACGGGTGGGTAAATGGGTATATAAGCGGGGCCCCGGCGATTCCATCTCGACACACGACCCAACCTTCATCCCGATCGCCAACGGTCCTTCGCAAACGAGCGTAATCTGCACGCGCGCGCAAAAAAAAGAGAGAGGGAAGACAGACCGAGGGACAGAATCCTCCCGCGTTATTTTCGTTCTCCGATCGATCGCCTCCGATCGATAGTTCGCGCGAACCGGTGAGCTGAAGCAAAGAAGAAGGGCAAAGGAAGCCGTGCCCCGACGCCGACTCGTCTGGCAAGAGTTAACTCGATTTTACGGAGAAGAGAAAAAGACGTGAGTACATATACGCAATTCTTCATTCTCGCTTATTCGCAGAGTTTTGCAACCCTCGCGAGAGAGAAACGGAGAGAGAAATGCTCGTCTTTCGATAGAGGTGGAACGCGACAAGTCGTCGTCTGTCGGTCTTACCACGGATTACTTGAGCCGACAATCTCGAAACTTGTCGATCGATCGAGTTCAATCTTCGTTAAGTCATATAAGCGACATAATCTTTCACGTCACGCGAAGCGCAAATTCGAAAACTACCCCTAGTAATCAAGACTCGTAATTATTGTTAAGTGACATTTTTTCTTCTTTTTTTATATATTTCATGAATTTATCATTCAATCTTATATGAATAAACTATAGTTAAACTATAGTTTAACTTTGCAACACAAGTTATAAACTTTAAAATAGCTGTCCGATGAAATCTCGAGTCCAAGTGACATGTGCGATCAATCATCAGACGCGGTTGGTTGATTATTAATTTTGTGCACGGCAGAGACTTTTTCTTGAGACCGCAACTGCACTTCTTTCGCAATACGCGTAGGACTCGATAACGAGTCGTTCCGGCTTTATCGCGAGTAATGGAGATAGTTTTGAAAGTGGAGCGCGACAATGTTATTGTTCGCCGTTCGCGCTGGTATTCGTTCGTTCATTAGTTGGGGTGTAGCAAACCGCGGATTTTCTAAATAATGAACGACGCCTCGGTCTTCCTCTTTGCTAACAAAGACAATTATAATATAAAGACAATTAATTATAATCCTCCTGCTTGTCTTGCATTAAAAACGATTGAAATCTAGAATATGTACATATTATTATTTATAATCGCTAATTTTAATCTAGAAATAGAGAAAAAATCTCATAATTATATTTAAATATATCTAATGTAGAAATAAGTGTCTTAATATTATTTTTATATTGAAATATCTGCTGAATTCTTTTGAAATCATCAAGAAACAGGCACCACATCTAAATTTATTTATTTTCATATTAATTAAGATCAAATAAGAATGTAAATTAATTACGAGTCTTTTATATCTCTCTGTGAGACAAATGTCTCGCGCAATTCTCGTTGGATATGACACTCGTAGCTAGTAAAGAGTTAAATAAGAAAAGATTAATTCACGAACAGCTAAGACTTTTACGCGTCGAAGGAGTCCGGTGTTAAGAGGTCAAACATGCGTCATTCGCGTGCAAAGCGTGTGCTGCGTCGTCGCTTATACACATAATTTGTAGATTTCTCAAGCGGCAACCACGTTTGCGTAATTTCATCCCCTCTCTTCTCGCGACGCGCTTTCCGACCCTTAATTAGACAGCCTAATCTGTCAATCTGCGAATTACCTGCGCCGCAACAACTCGAGGTCGCCAACCGGCCAGGCGGCCATCTTCTCGAATAGCTTCCCTTTTTTTACGATCGATTATAACGCGAATCATCTCTATTCTGTTCTCAATTAATAAGGATCTTTCTCGTGCACCGACAAAGTAGATTACATAGAGTTAACTTATAGTGGAGTCAAATTAGACGAAAAACGAGCGTTATCTCGGAACCGGTTCAACCAACTCGGATCTTAATGATTTATGGCTTAAAATTTCACAAATTAATTATACTAAAACCTTTATAGATTAAAAATTGCCACTTTTTACAGGAAATATGAAAAAATGCGAAAAAATTGAAATTGAACGATAAATGATTTTTTGAATGTGCTTTCTTGTATTCTATTGTTTGTAAACTGTAAATAATTATTTCATATTCCGCATTTTTTCATATTCCCTGTAAAAAGCGGCAATTTTTAACATATAAAGGTTTTAGTATATTTAATTTGTGAAATTTTAAGCCATAAATCATTAAGATCCGAGTTGGTTGAACCGGTTCCGAGATAAAAACCTAATTTGACTCCACTGTTAGACGCGGAATACAAAACTCGCGATTTCACGCTGCGTCTCGCGAGTTTAGATTGAACAAAGGAATTTCGCAGCTTCAGATTAGACAAGCGGATGCCATTCTTTCAATACATCGCAATCAGAAACCGCGATGAGGATGAAAGGCGAAAAGAAAGAGAGAGAAAGAGAGAGAGAGAGAAGAACAGAAGGCTATAATCATTGACGTTGAAGCGCTTGATGGCGCGCGCGACTTCTTTGTAAGCGTGGTACCATCATTACATCTCTGATGATCTTGATGAGGTAATCGGCGTCCATCAGCTTTCACAGGCATTTCCTGCGTCTATCGACCTGGCCGCGACGAGCACTTATTTGTATTCGTGGCGCGATCAACGACGCGTCGCCTTCCTCTACGAAAAATTTCGTCGATTCCTTCTACTTCTTCTCCTTCTTCATCTTTCTCTCCTCGAAGATTGCGTGGAACGGAAGAGATTACGTCAAATGCGAAATCGCCACGCGCGCATCGACGAGCACGCGTCCGTCACACGCTCTCTCGTGACGTATATAAGGAAATAATTAACGTATATACGTGATGTAGATAATAAGTCGACGTATGGTACCTTGAATCGGCTCGCAATTAAATCCATTGCGACGACGCGCGAGCATCCGGTAATTATATTCGCGGACACTTCCACGGAGATATTTTGGGGGATTGAATCTGGGACTCTCTTTGTCTCCTTTATAGAAACTTTCATTAATTATCCATGCAAATTAGCATCGATTTTCATAATTATTTAATTAAAGATAAATTCAGATGAGAAACGGGTTGAGAACCAAAGCGCAGAAATTAGGTGCAACAAACTTGTTTTTAAATTATTCTTTATTTAATTTGTGATTTTTAATTTGATACATATTTATAATATATATCAAATTAAGTAAAGCAGGAGAATTTAAGAACAAGTTTGTTGCGCCTAATTTCTGCACCTGGTTTTCATTAACTCTGTTTCCTGAATTTGTATTTACATATCAAAGTTAGTTTCTTTTCAATTAAGAAGATATTCCTGCATATGTGTCCTCAGTAAATGATTGCGCGAACGCGCAGTGTAATTTTCAAGAAAAATAAACGAGGGGGAGAAATCGATCCGCTTTCTATCGCGACGCAAGGTGGTTTCGGCTATATTAATGATATCGCGATGCGATTGCGAAAGGCTACGCAAGAACGTATGCAGTTGCAGCCGGCTGCAATTGCCAAATGCAAACTCACGCTGATCTCACCGTTAAAAAATTGGATCGTTTTGCCGTCCTCCCTCTACCCGTTCACTGTCGTCTGTTACTACTATGTCTCGTTATTAATGTCTTTATGTTTGTCCCTCTCGCATTCCGGTTTGCCGTAACTCGACAAATATAAATTTATAATTCGCGAATTTTCTAATTAATTAAAAATTAAATATTTTTCTGATTAAATATTTTTTCGATCTGCGCAAATTATTTTACATATCATTAAAAATTGATTTCGAAATTATATAATTTTTTTACCGATATATTTAAAGAGTCATAATTAAATATAAAAGTAAAATTAAATATCATCTTCGGCAAAATGACTTTTCATTGAATTCATTACTAAAAAAATAGTAGTAAGCTAGACTGAAAAAAGAGACTGCTTTTGTTACAACGATTACGGTTAACTCGAGCGTTAATGTTCGCCAATCTAGCCACACCAACCCGATGACGCGTAATAAATACCGTGTCGTTTGTCTCCGATTTCATGTATATACGCCTACTCACAAACGCAAAATAGTCTAGTGTTTCATTCGCGGAAAAAAAGAGAGTTGATATTGATGTATTTTGCGATCGTTTGCGATGCAAAGATCGAGCTCGCATTGCTCGATGCAAATTAACTATATTTTTTCCAATAAAATACGAACATTACAAATCGAAAGTAAATCTACCTCGATGACCCCGATTTCTCCGCGATTAAATTGTCATTTAATTATAAAATATAAATGAGAAAATCCTTTTTATACCTCAACAAAAATATCGAGAAAGGTCATCATTTTTTTAATGTTCCTAATTTTTTAAATCATGTATCTTTGTAAGCTTAAATTAAAATTCTATTATAAAGTAAACTTTACCTGAAATTAACTACAAAATTAGTTTTGTTAATAATTAATTTTTACCAGGCTTAGTTTACAAAAAAGCTTTTATTTGCAATCGTTTACAACTCGAAAATGATTGGACATTTTCGCTGAGGAAAAATCGTCTCAGGAATCTCCCATTAACGTGTGATACGGTAGGTCTTATACCCTGTATAACATAAGTTCTCCATTTATTATATGGAGTGAGGAATCAAACACGTACACGGAGAAGTCGTACGGCGTGTACGTAACGAGCGTGAGGGGCACGCATCCTGTCATTAGTTCCATAACGTTCGCCTTATTCGGTGCATTCGGTTCAATGTCAGCCGTCCCTCTCCTTCCTGCCGATTCTCTCGCGACAGCCCTGATGTAAAATGTCCATCGGTACCGAGCGTGACGTTCCCGTACGCTCCCCGCATATTCTTCCCATTAACGCGATCATAGCTGTCGTCCTTTCGTCTCGCGATCGGATCCATTCATGCGCTTGTCCCATTCATGACGAGCTGTCACGACGACAGCTCGTCCTCGCGTCCGTTCGTCTAACTGAAAGATTGCGCGTCTCAATGTTTTCTCGGGGTAGATCCGAGCGGGCAGTTAGAAGATTATAGAAGAGTCAATCGTTGGAAAGAAAAAAAGATTCGTCGATCATTTTTCTAATTGTTATAACACCATAATTAGAAGATTTATTATAAATAACAATTATGAAACGTGTTCATTTTTTTAATTAATAATAATATACACACTGTTATATTAAATGCCGTATATGTAACCATTTAACTTTTTGTTTGCGCATATATAACATCGGAAGATATTTAGAATGAGATAAGTTAGTTAAGAAACCATAATCTTACGATAGTTTTGATAAATTATTATGAAGAGAACAAAAAAACAGAATTAAATATTTTCCGCAGATATCACGATGATAAAATTCGTTGTGGCAACGATGGTGTGCTTTTTGGGGGTGAAGACGATCGTCGCCATGCCGGTGGCCGATCACCACGAGGGTCACGCGGCACTGCCGGTCGTGCCTCTCGAAAAGGAGGCGAGTCCCGCGCTAAAGACGGAAATCCCGCAGGCGGACGTCGCGCAGGGTAGCGCACCCGCGGAATCCGCGGTGGCCAGTCAGCCAGCCCAGGCCGAGCCAGCGGCCGCGGTTGACGCAATTGCCACGAGGAGCAGCGAGGAGGTCCAACCGGTCGAGAAGAAAGACGAGGAACCGGTGCAGTCGGAGCTGCTTAAATCGGTAGCCGAGGAACCCGTGGCACAGCCCAAGTCATCCGAGGAGCAAATCGATTCCAGCGAGAAGGAGGAGCCGAAAGTGCTAGCCACCGCCGAGGCTGAAAAGAAGCAAGAGCAAGAGTCCCTGAAGGAGGCCGCTTCCGAGGCGAAGGAGTCGGTGCAGCCGGTGCCGCAGCCAGCCGAAGTTCCAGCGGAAACCAAAGCAGTGAGTTTTATTTTTCAACTTTCGATGATCGAATAAATTAGCTCGATGAGAATTGTCTCGTCTTTTTTCCCATCGTATTTCAAAGCATAATTTTGCGTCTTCCAGGAGGAACCAGTAGCCATTGAAGGCAAGAGCGCGGAGCCTGCGGTGGAACCCGCGGCCGAGAAGCCTGTAATCGAGAAGCGCGCCGACGACGTCGTCGCCGAGGTCGCCAAGGAGGAACCGAAGGAGGAGAAGAAGTTGGAGGAGTCGGTAGAGCAGCTGAAGAAGGAGGAACCGGAAATTCCAGCGCCCGCTTCCACCGAGGAGAAGAAGATCGAGGCTGAACAGCCGAAGGAATCCACGGGCCACTCGCTCGCTCACGCTAAAGTCGAGAAGCCTGAGGATAAGCCTGACCGCGTAACCCGCGAGACCATCGGTTTGGCTAACCCGGCCGCCCCCGTCTCTCAAGAAACGTCCCAAATCCAACAGCAGGAGAAATCCGGACCCATCGACGCCGCAGAGGTCGCGTCGGAAGCGGATGTTGCACCAGTCGAGGAGCCGAAACCCGCCGAGAAGAGCGAGAAGATCGAGAAGAGCGAGCAGCTGGAGACGGTACCTGTCGAGCAGCCAGCTGTCAAAGCTCAGGAACCGAGCGAGGAGAAGGTAGCCAACGAGAAGGAGCCTGAGAAAGAGGCGAAGAGCGCCGAGGCTCCCATCCAGCAAGAGGTAGCCAACGAACAGCAACCTGCGCAGGCTGAGGAATCCAGTCAGATCAAGCGAGACACAGTGGAGGAAGTCGAGCAGCCTCAGGTGAAGTCGGAGCTCCCGGTTCCCGAGGAGTCGCAGCCGGCCCAACAGCCAGCTCAACAACCAGTTCAGCCGCAGGAAGAGGCCAAAGAGGTGAAGGAGCGTTCCCACGAATCCTCCGAGGAGAAGCTGAGCGATGCCGACGAGAGCAAGGAGACCAAGAGCAGCGAAGAGTCCTCCGAGGAGAAGGAGAAGCCCAAGCTGGCGGAATTGCTCCCGAAACCCGAGCAATAAATTTTGACGCGAGAAGGGTTCGATTGACGAGTAACCTCAGCAGCGCGGCAGCAACAGCAGCAGCAGCAGCAGTACCATCTCGAGGAGGACTGCTCCTCTTAAGGATCGGGTCGAGCTCATGCATCGGCGTCTCTCCGCGAGACGCATACACGAGTTCGTCGCGAAACGACAGGAGCGAAAGCAAGCGATAGAGAGAGAAAGTGTGTGTGCGTGCGTGCGTATATGTGTGTGTGTGTGTGTGTGTGTGAAAACGAGCGAGAGAACGCAAGAATGCAAACGTCGAAATGTCAGAATAAGGAGCATGTAACGATGTGGAGACCAGAAAATGTGAAAGCACCACAGTGTGAATGAGAGAAAAAACGACCCCATCGACCCGATCAATCTATCTAGGGTAGGGTGGTCCGATCTTCAAGGCGCACTACGATCTCGGTAGCGCATCCCCAGGAACGCGGAGACGATCGGGGGTTGCCAGATACTTGTCAGCATCGTCCACGAGCGAATGACATCGACCCGTATCGATTTATTTCCTTCATCGACGCTCGATCTCGGTAATCCAGATGGAGAACACCCGATGATCCCCCTTTCCAGGGAATGCGGCTCGACCTGGCTCTGAGTGGCGTTTCCGTTTGTCCTGGCGGACACCGCGATCTGTCCGCGAGGACGAACTCAGGGTCCCTCCCCGATCGATATTTTTCATCCACCTTATAGAATCCCCTATGTCCCATCTAAAAATGACACGCACCCTTCCCTGTCCACTACACATCCCCCATCCCGGTAAACTATATAGTAAGTAGCTCGACTCTGTCTTCTTTTTAGAGATTACATGTGTCATTATTATTATTATTATTATTACGATTTAGTACCAGTACCACTATTATTATTAATATTATTATTTGTATTATTGCTATCATCATCGTTATAATAATAATTATTATTATTACTATGAAATCCTGATGGCCTCGTTTATATTTCGTTACTATTTACTAATCATTCGTGACTGTTCGAGTTGCATCGCACTGAGTGCATTTTATCGTGCGTAAAATTGAAAGAAAGATATCTCCATAACAATATAAGTCGCAATCAATTCTTTATACACTCACGCTGTCTTTCGATTCATTTAAATATATTTGTCTTATCAAAACAGAGAGGGCAAATAATTTTTGACAATTTCTCCACGATCTATCGAATAAGATCTTCTAAAAACAAGATATTGCAAAAATTATTGTACTCTGAAAAAAGTGATTAAATTAATAAATATTTATTTCAATACTGCCTAATGAATCATTTATTTGAAACAAATAAATATTTGTTTTGAAAAAGATTTTTTTATATCAAAAATAAATATTTTTCACGTCGAATCAATATTATTAGTTTCAAATAAATGATGTTTGGTAGTATTGAAATAAATATTTATTCGAATTCAATAAATTTTTTTTCAGTGTACTAAACACAGATTTTTAAGCAAAAATGCACTTTAGAAAATCGCATACATCATCATATATGTATTTGCAATTTTGTTTCAATGATTTTATTATATTAACGTGTCATATATGTATATACACAGAAACAATTTTCTTTTAGAATTTATCCTGAAATCATGGTAATCGTCGGAAAATATGATATTGGAAGAAATTTATAAGAGTTCCGCTGATTAATATTTACCACAATAAAAAATATTAATATCTACACAATAAGATATAAAATACATTCGATTAATTTTACTATGTATGTAGTAAAATTTATTATGTACATATATTAGTATTTTTTATTGTGGTAAATATTAATCAGAGAAACTCTTATTAAATTCTTCCAATACTATATTCTCTCACGATTACCATAATTTTCAGCGTAAATTTTAAGAGAACATTTTCTCTCCGTGTATATGTAAAATTTTATGTAAATCTGTCTCTTCAAAATTTTTAGATTTTAATCATCGCGTAGTTTATTACATCTTCATACTTCGATAAGAACTATTGTTTTTATCGAAAGATATTCGGATGTATTCGGTGAATGATAAATTTGCGAGAAGATCAATGCTCCGGGATGAAGACAAGAGGTCTGTTCTTTTCAGCTGAACTGACTGTAATTCAGAGTTTATCTCTTTCCTTCTAATATGGAGTAAAAAAGAGAAACTCTGAACTAATGCAGCTATAGTTCAGCTGAAAAGAACAGACCTAAGAGGGATACGATAAATTCCGTGATTTGCGCAGCTCGCACAAATTTGCGTCACAATCGCGTTAGGTCGTCGCGATAAGGCGTAGTAGCGATCTGTCAATCACGTGTCGCGCTTCAGCGTCGCAGAAGCGACGAGGACCCGACATAAGCGGGTAATAAGTTAATGACAAGTAACGAAGTAGCACTTACGTTCTCAATAGAACGTATACTTGCATGCAGGGTATATATCTACTTACCGCGTCAGATACAATAATCGGCAGCTTCCGCCAGCCGATAAACATCTTCGCACTTCTCTCACAACATGAAATGAGAGGGTACAACGAGCGGGGTATCCCGCCAACGAATTGAGTAAAATATCATTACAACGCCCATTCCCCTTTATACTCTTACGACCTTTAAACCCTTTACGTGCCCACAAATTGCTTTGCGCACGCAATAAGATCTAAATGAAACGTATGTCCCGACATTTCAGGATCTCACGATCGTAGCTTATCTTCTCGAAAGTTTAGTTTCACATCAAAGATAATAGTTTCACAATTTTTTTATCAAACACTTGCAAAATGCAGAGAGATAATAAAATGCAGATAGGGTAGAAATATTTATCGTTTCTTTTTTTCAGTTAAAAGAAAAAAGTCACACGTAAACTTGCAAAATATAGAGATAATAAAATGTAGATTCTTACGGGAGTAAAATCATAAACGTACACTGAAAAAAATTTTATTGAATTCCAATAAATATTTATTTCAATACTGCCTAATAAATTATTTATATGAAACTAAGAATATTGATTTGATTGTGAAAAATGTTTATTTGAAGAAAATCTTTTTTAAAACAGATAAATATTTATTTGTTTCAAATAAATGATTTATTAGGCAGTATTGAAATAAATATTTATTAATTTAATAATTTTTTTCGATGTATGAAATTATTAATTATGGAATGTTTATATCAAATTTTCAGGAGAATTTGAATATATAGGATAGAAATATTTGATGTTCCTTCTTTTCAGTCAAAAGGGAAAAATGCCACGTAACTTGCAAAATATAGAGATAATAAACTGGAGATTCTTGTAAAAGTAAAATTACAAAATTACATATAAAATTATTAATTACGAAATTATTATATCAAATTTTCAGGAGAATTTAATCTAGGACAGAAATAATTATCGCTTCTTCTTTTTCAGTCAAATAAAGAAAATAGTTTGTAATCGATCAAACATATCGCAAAAAGGCATATAAAAAATCAAACGGAAAAACATTTATATTTTATTTTACGATATTTTCAGAGATAATCATATAAAGATAATTATGAGCTATTCATCTGCAGCTCAAAAAAAGTTGAGGAATTATATATAAATTTTCATAATGCATCTATAGTGCAGTAAATTTCATAATATGCATATATGTATAGTGCAACTTTGACAAAGATCATCTGTCGAAGAACCAAAAGACAAGTCAATCCACATTTTCGTTGTCAACCAACACTTACCTTTCTATTCGCGCTAATGCAGTTCCATAACGAATTGATTATAAGTGCATGGAGAATGCACTTGCACAAGATTCCCAGCAGAGTCTCGCGATTGTTCGCGAATATCGCATCCGCATGTGGGCATGCCGACATTTCTCGACGATGCATCAAATTAATTAAAGGGCGAGCGAGCAAAACTCGATGATATGCACCAGGTGTAAACAACGTCGCGGTGCATAAGGTGAACGAAATGTCAAGGCGTGCGAAAGAAAGAGTTTTGCAATATGCGACGTAACGCGAAATTATTTTGTTTCATTGTATAATTTGACATTAAACGCGACTATTCGATTCTCAAGTTGAACTACAAATTAAACAAAGACTTGGCTCGTCCTATTTATATAAAGACATATGTGTTCTTTACTTTTAAATTTTACTTTTAAAAAACGATGCAAAAACTTTTCTATTTTAAATATTATTATAGCAATTTTAATATTAATCATTGCAGCTACATATATATAATATATTGTTAAATATAATAGAGACTTTACTAACAATAAAATTTGCGTAAAATTAAATTTAGAATCGAATAGTATGATAATTAATTTTCGCAGTTTCTCTTTTAGAAACAGTCTTTTTAAATTTAATTTTTCGTTTATGAAAAGAGTTTCACAAGAAGTAGATGATAATTTTGAATACCAGCAACTAAACTTGTAAGAAAACGCAGTCGACTGCCTCCGTGGCGCAAACGGTTAGCGCGTTCGGCTGTTAACCGAAAGGTTGGTGGTTCGAGCCCACCCGGGGGCGTTTTCTTTTTATGCAGATACTAAAACTGACACGATTACGTTTATATATTTGTTAGTTTAAATAAAATAATACTAAATTCGAAATATATGAATATCAAAACGTTCGGCTGTTAACCGAAAGGTTGGTGGTTCGAGCCCACCCGGGGGCGTTTTCTTTTTATGCAGATACTAAAACTGACACAATTACGTTTATATATTTGTTAGTTTAAATAAAATAATAGTAAATTCGAAATATATGAATATCAAATCAATTTCATGATTCAGAAAGTCGCATATACAAATAAAGTAAAAGATAAACAAATAGTCGAGTGTATATTCTAAAATAAATATGACAAAAATAATGACTGTTAAATTAATTAATTATTAATATAATTTTTAGTAAAAATAAGAAAAAAAATTGCTCTTGACCCCGACGTGATTTGAACACGCAACCTTCTGATCTGGAGTCAGACGCGCTACCGTTGCGCCACGGAGTCGTGTGATATTTTGTGCTTCTAATACAATGATACTCTAGTCGTATGCTCCTAATGAGATATCATAATGGAAAAGTCGAGTTGCAATCATATAGCGGAATATATAATTTATATTTAAAACTTTTCACATACCTCATTTGTAAGTAGAAAGCAGGTTAAGATACCCAGTGACCACCAATCAACTTCCTGTCCATAGTATTCTTTTTTTAAGATTTCAGGTGCTGAAAAGTAACAGTTTGCATAAATGCAACAAAATAATATAGAAAAACTGAATATTTAAGTCATTATTTTTTTAACAAATTGTATATATAAAATCGTATATTATAGTTCTATTATATATTTCTTACCCATATAAAGAGGTGTCCCACATAATGTATTTGTACGTTCTGTGCGTTGCAACCATTTGGCAAAACCAAAATCAATTATCACAGCATGGCCATCTTCATCAAGAAGAATGTTTGTTGTTTTCAGATCTCTGTGCACTATGCCAGCATTGTGTAGGAAATCTGTACATAATGTATAAATCTTTTATAAATACACAAATGTACAAATGTCAATAATACATTCACACTAATGTATAATTGAAATTATTCTTACCTATAGCTAAGGCAATTTCAGCTACATATATCCTAACTATTTCTTCAGGTAAACAACCATACTCATCAACTAGTGAAAATAATTCTCCTCCAGAAATGTAGTCCATTACTGTAAAATATTAATTTCAGTTAATTTATCTCAGTCTGTATTTAAATAATTATGTTAAAACTTAAATGCTGTAATAGAAATATATACGTACATATATACAAAGTTTTCTTGCTTTGCCATCTGTGAATAGAGCTTACTATAAAAGGATGATGCCCAACCATTCTCTGTATTGCCACCTAAATATAAAACATTAAATTTAATTCAATGACACATTTATCAAAATAATTAATGTTCTTGTTTTAAATATATATACCTCCTCTTTGGCTTGTTTGACGGCATTTTCTGCTACAATCCTGGCTTTACTAATAACTTTCAGTGCAAAGACTTGACCAGTCTCTTGTTTCTGCACTTTATATACCTTTCCATAAGTGCCTTTAGCTATTATATCTAAGAAATTATATCCTGTCTTCATAGGTATCTCTTTAATGGAAAATTCTGGTAGAAAGATTGATTGAAAGCGTGGAACTGGCCATACTGTTTTGGAAGATGCGTAAATATTCTGCACAGTGCCATTGGTCCAACTGAAAACGACAAGTGCACAAATTTAGTTTGACTACTCTCAACCACAATATTTAAGATAAAAATAATAAAAAAGATTATTATCTGCTAAATAAATTGTATATATATTATATACTAAATATGTTGTCCATATTACCTTTTATGAGAAGTTCGGAATAATGATCTTTGTTCTTCGTTAGAAGCCTGTGTTGTTGAGACGCAGCTTCCAGCAAGTAAATTGCTAAGACTATACTGTAAATTAATAACATTATCGTTAATAAACATAACATGCATATTTAACTTATAATTTAGTATGGAATAAAAAATATGACAGTGAAAACATATTTTTAATGTTACATAAATAATTTTTTTACAGGTTAGGAATATACATCCACATATAACACACACCTGACTATCATACTGCTGATAATTATGATAGTTTTCCTTGACGTTAGAATTACCCATCCAAGTGACGATGCTCCAATTGCTCTCAAATGACGAATGGATGATAATTCGAAAACAGCGCTTTTAATAACGTCATTTCTCTGTAAAATTATTTCAAGTTCAAATACCGGGCATATTTCCAATTTATTTGTATATACATATATACATGTTATATCCGACACTTGCAAAAATATATTGGATATATAGCTTTATTTTATACAAGTTTGCGATTAAAATTACGAGTTTCAAGAAATTAAATTGCATTTAGAATTATCGATTAAATAAATAACACACATATATATATGTAAATCGATGTAAATTATGCTAATAACAAATTAAATCACAATTATACATAATAAATCGTTACACATTGGGAAAGATTTTGCATGAAATAATATATGTGACATATATATACGAATATTTGATAAATAATGCTGAATATTGGCAGACGTACATAACGAAAATGCTTTTGAACATACGTTACCTTGAATAAGCATTCGCAAGACACTGACAAATCTTATTAATATATCTTTTTACTGAGAAAAAAACAGCGTGCGTATTTTACGAGCGAATAAATGCGCGCCATTTGAATTTACAAATAAAAAATTCAACTGTGTAGGTATACATAGATGAGGTCACGTGACAGGCGTCGACTTTCGCATCGACACTGGCAGCGCCTTCTTTCGACGGGAAGGGGAATTAATTTCATTATATCGTTTTATTTTATACAATATTAAACTTTTGAGTTTCGAGGAATTCAATTATTGTATTTAGAATGATCGATTAAATAAATAGCATATATATGTATATCGATGTAAATAGATTATTTTAATACGAAATTAAAGAAATTACCATTATATAATGAATCGTTATATATCGTGAAATATTTTGTGCGCAACAAAATGTATATATGCGACATATATATACGCATATATTTCGTAAATAATTTTAAAAATCGGCAAAGTACATACATAACGAAATCACGAAAATGCTTTCGAGCATACGTTACCTTAAATATAAGTATCCGCGAGGCACTTAGAAATCTCGTTGAGCCATCTTGTTACGAAGGAAAATACAGCGTGCGTATTTTACGAGCATTATAATTCAAATGCGTATTTACATAGATGAGTTCACGTGACAGGCGTCGACTTTCGCATCGGCAGTGCCACCTTTCGGCAGAAAGGGGAATTAATTGTCATCATATATCGTTTTATTTTATACAAGTTTGCAATTAAAATTGAGTTTCGAGAAATTCAATTACATTATGTATTTAGAATCATCGAATAAATAAATAGCATATATATGCATGTAAATAAATTACGTTAATAGCAAACTAAAGAGATCATGATTATTTAATGAATCGTTATATACACATCGTGAAATGTTTCGTGTGCAACAAAATGTATATATGCGACATATGTACGCATATATTTCGTAAATAATTTTGTAAATCGGCAAAGAACGTACATAACGAAATCACGAAAATGCTTTCGTGCATATGTTACCTTAAATAAACATCTGGGAGACACTTGCAAATTTCGTTGAAGCATCTCGTCGCGAAGGAAAGTGCAGCGTGCGTATTTCACGAGTGTTGAAATTGAAATGAATATAGGTACATAAACAAAGTCACGTGACGGTGTCGACTTTCGCGCTGGCAGCGCCATCTTTTGGCGGGAAGGCGAGTGATCTGTCATCATTGACCCATCGTCGATAATAGAAGAGCGTCGACGTGATCGATATTACCCTTTGTTTTCGCGCGATATATTCGCGCGATTCCGTGACATCAGCGTGCTCGCGACCACCATCCGTCCACGTGACCCTAGCTGATGTTTCCGCGATCCGTGTGTGCGGACCAACACACGAACGGAGCAATTGATCCCGCGCGGGGTGTCAAAAAATTCTAGGTCTCTCGTAGGCGCGATTCTTTTTGCATGCCATCCGCGAACGCGACCTCAGTCCAAGGGAATACGTGCATGTTAGGCCGCGTCAGACGCGCGATCTAACTATGATTAAATTATTCTCGTTGAAACAAGCGAAAAAAGATGGCGAGTCACCTAAAGCTGGCACCCAGAAGAAGGCGTCCGCGGCGCAGCTAAGAATCACAAAAGGTTCGAGAGATTGCATAGCGATGACTTCGTGCCCGCGTACGTCTCATCTCTGGCGTTCAATTTTTCAGACATAAACGAACTCAATCTCCCGAAAACGTGCGGTACGGAATTTCCGGATCCCGATGACCTGCTAAGCTTTAAGTTAATCATCTGTCCAGATGAAGTGAGTACACACGTGTATTGTAATTGCGAGTGTTTTGAAGGTACGATGACATTCGTTGAAAAATTATCAATTTCAGTCGTTTCCGATGTCAACGACTCGATGTTGCAATTTCTGTTAAGATTGGCGATGGTTCTCCTTCAATCGATAATATGCCTCGATTGGTTTCAGGGATTTTATAGAGGTGGTAGATTCGTGTTTAGTTTCAAAGTCGGACCCAATTATCCGCACGAGCCACCAAAAGTGAAATGCGAGACTCAGGTTTATCATCCAAATATTGACTTGGATGGTAATGTGTGCCTGAATATTTTGAGAGAGGACTGGAAGCCTGTACTAACGATCAATTCCATTGTCTATGGTCTTCAGTATCTGTTTCTAGTATGTTTAATTCTATTAATATATCTTGAGATTTGCAATATTTTATGTATGAGAGAATTTTATATATATATATATATCATTATGTACATATAAAAAATTCTATACAAGCTTCTTAAATGTATATTTTTATACACATGTGTATGCATGTGTGAATTTTATTATGAAAACTTCTTGATTTCTAATTGTTGTCAATTATCCAAATTGATAATTAAATGTAATAACAGGAACCAAATCCTGAGGATCCATTAAATAAAGATGCTGCTGAAGTTCTACAAAACAACAGGAGGGCATTTGAACAAAATGTAGCAAAAGCAATGCGGGGTGGTTATGTAGGATCATATTATTTTGAACGATGTCTCAAGTGATACAGTGCTTCGCCATCAATACTGTACACACTTCACCAAGGACTCGCTGTAGGTGAAAAGATCCTAAAGTATAAAATGGATGCAGAACTACACGGTGTTCTCATTGTCATTTGTGTGACAACATTAACATATTTACTTTCTTTATGTCTTGCCAGGCCTATATACATTTAATTGGACAAATATTTTCCGTTAACAAACCTGACGTGAAATGACATCATTCATTTTACTTTCAACATTTATCCAAATGTTTATCGGCCATGGCATTATTTTAGTGAATTTGAAGTGCAGTGTTGAAGGGATTGTAGAAATATAGTTTGACATTTGGCAGATGATAGATGTTACAATGCAAGATATTTAATTATATTAGATACATGAAATAATTCTGGACCTCCAAAATTATAGGATTTTTCAGATCCTGAATTTCTAACCCAGTTTTATAAGTATCTTAATTTATGTGAAATATTTATTTTCTGAAATATATAACTTCCACTTTTATTACAGTTTTTTTTTCACTGCAACATCTATCGAAATCTGTTTCATTTAAATATATGTACAAGTAATTTAACTTATGTATTGACTGAGAATGGAATATAAGGCTGTTACGGAATTGGAAATGTTTTGTTTGGATTTTCACAAGCATTATATTTTAATACCCAACAAAAAATAGGTCTTTCTTATATGTACATAAAAACACGGTATAATGTTTTTATGAAACAAATTTGAATTTATTTCACACTAAGAGAGGAGGATTGGTTTTCTTTGCCCTATGTACAAGTACAAACCTTACAGCAGTCACTAACAATTATCGAGATATAATACGATTATGAAGTTTTTATGCTACAAAATTTAATTTATTACACTTTATAATTATTAGAAACATTGAAAAGTGTATTTTGAACGTCACGCTTGTACAGTCTATGTAAAATAATTGAGCATATCTCAATGTAATTTTCAAAAAATTGTGATACATGCAAGAATCACAGAAACGTAACGAAATGTGTATTAAAAAAGTGTGCCACCAATTCTTCTCTTTCTTCTATCTGCTCTTGTATTGATGTATAAATCAAAATATTTAACTAATATATTATAACATATATATATATATATATATATATATATATATATATATATATATCCCTTTAATCTATATAAATTTTGGAGTTCACAAAAGTATCTCGTTGGTGAAAAAAGAGAGTTAAGAATAGACGAGCTAATCTACACAAAAATATTCTTTTTATATATCGAAATTAATAGAATTCATATATATAATATTGCTATCTCGTTGAACAATTCTTTTTGTTTTAAAGAAATTAACTCTACAATTGTGAATTCCAAATTTTATATATTGCGCACGATTGCATATATTTTACTGTTTACTAAATATATCTGAATAGGCAGCTGTAAGAGAAAGTTAAATACTTAAATTCACAAACATTGTAAACTCCAGAAATAAAGATCTTGGATAAATAAATAAATGACAGATATGCAAAATACACACACACACACACACACACACATATATATATGTGTGTGTGTATGTATATATAGAGACTACATTTTCAGTTTAATAGCGAAGTTTCTATAAAACTTCATCCGTGTATTAAAGCATCAGTATGTAGTTATATCTTACCTCTTATTGATTTATACAATATCAAGACTTAAGCGTATGTGTGATTTTGTGGTAAGACTCACTGCTGCGCTACACTGTTTATTTATAATTATCATTATATAAAAATTACCGAGAGAATGTGTGCGGTAAATATTCAAAGTTATACTTCTCAAAGAAGTTACGGTTCGTATCCTATAAAGAGCAAAGGAACAGTTTTCGTCTTCTCTCTATCAGAGTTATTATTATTATTATTAATTATACTTTAATACACAGTATACTTATAGAACTTATGAACTAGAGAAGTGTCCTGGCCTCACTCCGACCTACAGCTTACTTTGCTGTATTCTTTAATTTAGGTCCCGTCTGCGTTAAACGTCTCAAGGCACTTTTTAAATATTCTTCTTTGAGAAAATTGACTTGATCAATTAACTGTTTTTCTCGTTACATGCACAAAGATTTTAATCATATCAAATAATAGGTCGCGAGTTCGGATCACAATGTGATGGCATCGTTATTTGAGCGCGTCGTATCATTCATTAAATAGATACGATATTAGAAATAGCTTACGTTTTACATATATTTCTGATATAAACGCTGCAAGAAATCGATAATAGTTGTAATTCCAAGTACAAGCAATCTAAAAGCAGGGTACTGCAAAATAAAATTGATAAAAATACAAGGAGTATACGATTATTGTTAGAAAAATTATTCCTTTTAATGTGTCTCGTGTATATTTACAGAACTTTGTTTTACAATTAATAAGCATTCTCTCACAATTTTAAGAAATTCAATTTTACTATCTACTTTATCAATTAGCCACATGTATTACTTTTTGATATTTACAATTTAAAATCATCTTCTGTTATATATAGAAAATATTTCCTTTTGAAGTTCAAGAAAGAGAGGCATATGTAACTTTATACTATATATGTGGTACAAATATTTTAAATATATTGAGCAATATTTTTTACTATAAACATACACTTTTCTATATCCTCTTGTCTCACATTATTTTATATTATTAGATTTTCATATTGATATTTGTTATAAACAAATAATACCTAATCATGTATAATTGAACAATTCTAAATATGCTAATAAAAAATCGTAAAACTTAGTTTGTTTTGATTTTCAATAAGAACATTTTATTATTAAATCCTGTATTCTTTATAAAATTGCAGCTAAAATTTTGTTGAACATATTAATCTTTAACGTAATCTATTAATTATTGTTTCTCATTTAAATCATATTTGTTATATCTTTGCATGCACCCTGTATATAAAATCATTACCAGGAAAATCAGGAAAAATGTATATTATGATGATTAAACTTATTGCACATTTCTTGCAGTTTTATGAAACAGCTAAGATCTAATATTTGATAAACAAAATAAAAGTCTGGTTAATTATAAATCTATCATAAATATTATATACATATACATATATGTATATAAAAATCATTATCATCATTTTGTTCATAAATATATATATATATATATATATATATATATATATTCTTTATCAACAAAATGTTGATGAAAAACGTAGTTTTACTAATCCAATAATATTTTAGTAAAAAATTTTAAAAATACAGATCATGACTTGTACTTTGAAGCGCTACTTAATTGATGCATGCATTCTTTTGCATCCTGATACAAAAAGCACTTGTGCAGTAATCATTTCACTAACCACAGCACAGAACACCTCTTCTTTGTACGCCTTTATCATTTTGGGCTCTGATATTTATAGTTTATTTCTGCTTCAAGAGTTCGTTTTATATAATTACAATACACATCTCGTGAAAGAAAGAGCTATGCTTAAATTTATCTGTGTTCTCCTTGATATCTGTTAATGGTGTACTGTAATTATATTCCACAAGATCTATGATTGCAAAGATTTTATTACACAGTTATAGAGCTATTTAAATTGTTTTTGACTAAGCTAGATGGCTAAGTC